GATGCAGTGATGCTCAACGCTCATGTCCCGGAGAAGCTCAGGATCAAGTACCAGAAATGGATCAGCGCCGAACATATTCCAGAAGAATTTAAAGGCCGAGGTTATGTGCCGTTCATACCTGGGCACTTTTCAGAGACTCTTTTCAAAGAATACACAATAGCTTTCGAGGCCAGATTTTCACCACTCCTGACGGAGGACGCCATCCTACAACGGTTTCCAGAGACGTTCCTTTTAACCTGCGAGTACGACATTTTACGAGACGAAGGCTTGCTGTACAAGAAACGGCTGGAAGACAATGGTGTGTCCGTCACCTGGCATCACCTGGAGGATGGATTCCACGGGATCTCATTGCTCGTAGGGTTTGGGCCCCTAGAATTTCCTGGGACGAGGAGGGGTCTCAAAAACATAATCAAATTCCTCGAACGGTACTAGAAACCGAACAGCCTCCTTCTCGTGTTTTGTTTGCCTTTCCAGCTTGGTGACCTTTGCCTGGTGCGTGCATTTCTGTGAGACAGAGAGTGACAGGCACCCATGCACAACTCCATTGGTGCGAGGAGCGTGCCACCTCTTCCACTTGCATGCATGGCGCTCCAGGCAAGTTGCTGTACTGGGGGATTGTTCTGACGATCATAAAATTCCTACTTGTTTGGAGGTGACGGGATAGCAGTCTTTCAGAATTTGAGAGTGGACAGTCACTTGTCTGAAATGGTATAGGGAGTCCTGCTTGAGCAGAGGGTTGGACTAGAAGACCTCCAGGGTTCCTTTCAGCTCTACTCTGATTGAAGTGATGGACCGCTTTTATGTTCGTCCATCCATGACTTCTTGTCCTCTTTGAGGTGCTTCCTTCCTCTCCATGACGGCCCCTCAAATATTGGATGACTGCTATCATGTCCCCCGTACTCCTCTTTTCCATTAAACGAGATTTACTTAATTCTTGCGCCCATTCTTCACAGGTGTGAGCCTCCCGTCCCCTAAACTTCCTTGTTGCTCTTTGCTATGCTCTTTCTGAAGTCTCCAATTTTTTTGGTATCACGGTGACCAAAACTGCATGTAGTATTTCTTGATGAAGTGTAAAGTTTACTTTTCCCACTGCAGAAATGCGTTGCGTTGAAGACAAAAGGCGTGGGAATAAATCCCTTTAGTGCACCAATGTACCTACCGTCCCTGTCTTAATGTTCCCTTTTATTCGTATCTGTTTCATGTATCGTACTCATAATCATGTTTATACTTGTATATATTATCAAATGCACACTGGACAAAATAAATAAATAAAAATAAAATGAACAATTTAACTCTTCGGCAGCGACTCATTAAACGTAAGCCCGGCTGAGTTCCAATACCCTCTTGTGGCATCCCAGCAAATAAAAAGACAAAATAAACGTGTGGTTTTATTTATTTTAATTTCCTGAATCCCTTCAGGCTGCTGTTGGAGATCGTTCTGGACACTCCAGGTTGTTGGTTTTTTTGTGTTTGCGTTTCTGGGTGTCGCTCGCCGTGTGAAGCTGGCCTTGCGGGCATAATGGGGAAACCAGCCTTGCTGTTTTCTCTCGCAATATCTTTGCTTTTGTAATGCCATGCCTCAGGGAGGTTGTAAGATGTGGTATGTAGGTGCCACAGAATTAAAACGAATGTTGTCATCTGGTGTCAAGGTTGGCTCAGCCTTTCGTCCTTCCGAGGTCGGTCAAATGACGCCCCAGACTGTTTGGGGTGGTGGGGGGAAAGTGGTGGAGTCTCCAAGCAGATTATAAAGTCAGCTCATTGCCCCCAACAATCTGGGTCAGCATCGAACTTCTGGCAGTCAGAAGAATTAGTCTGCAATCCTGCATTCTAACCACTGCGCCACTGAGGCAGGAAAGGCTAGGAGGATAGGTTAAGATAGGACAGTGATGGCAAACCTTTTTGTTGTTCTGTGTTGCAAGCATGCAACAACACCCACAACGCAATACGCCCTTCCCTCTCTGCTCATGCGTGTACAACACCCTGCCCTCCTTACCTGCACTGCACCTGTGCGCACCTCCCAGCTGATTTTTGACGTTTGAGGCCGTTTTCAGCCTCCCGGAGGCTTGAGGGAAGTCTCCGGGAGGCTGAAACGGGCCTGTTTAAGCACTTCCGCTATTTCTGGAAGGCCTGTTTTTTGGTCTCCTGAGTCTGCAGAAGCTTCCTTTGAGCCTCTCGGAGGCCTCAAACGGTCGAAAAATCAGCTGTGAGGCACACACATGTGCAATGCAGGTAAGTTTGGCTGGGGCTCACGTGCCCGCACAAATGATTCTGCATATCACCTGTGGCATGCGTGCCATAGGTTCATTATCATGGGGCTAGGACAATAAAATTTAGAATATAGACTAGAATGCAGAATAGAATAGAAATAGGAATAGAACACAGAACAGAATAGAATAGGGATAGAATGCAGAATAGAATGCAGAATAGAGTAGAATAATAAAATTTATAATAGAATAATAAAATTTAGAACAGAAGAGCAGAACAGAAAATATAGAAGAGAATATAGAATAGCTTCCCGGAGAAGCTCAGAATCAAGTACCAGAAATGGATCAGCGCCGAACTTATTCCAGAAGAATTTAAAGCCCGAGGTTACGTGCCGTTCGTACCTGGGCGCTTTTCAGAGGCTCTTTTCAAAGAATGCGCGGCAATTTTTGAGGCCAGATTTTCACCACTCCTGGCGGAGGACGCCATCCTACGCCGGTTTCCAGACACATTCCTTTTAACCTGCGCGTACGACGTTTTACGAGACGAAGGCTTGCTGTACAAGAAACGGCTGGAAGACAATGGCGTGTCTGTCACCTGGCTTCACCTGGAGGATGGATTCCACGGGATCTCGTTGCTCGTAGGGTTTGGGCCCCTGGAATTTCCTGGGACGAGGAGTAGTCTCAAAAGCATAATCCAATTCCTCGAACGGTACTAGAAACCGAACAGCCTCCTTCTCGTGCTTTGTCATTAAAATTAACCACCGTTGTCATTAAAATTCCTACTTGTTTGGAGGTGACGGGATAGCAGTCTTTCAGAATTTGAGAGTGGACAGTCACTTGTCTGAAATGGTATAGGGAGTTCTGCTTGAGCAGAGGGTCTGGGTCATTTTACATGAATGCCGTTGTTTTCAAACTATTTTACAACAATACTGTTGCATATAAGGAAAGAAGATTATTGTTACATAATTCTAGTAATAATAATATTCTTTTCTTAAATACAATAGTTTTCTTCCAGTTTCTAATTTATTATCTAACCATTAATAAAACAAAGCCCAAGTTAAAAAGAATTCTGTATCTTCATTATTCTTTATCTTTGATGTTAACCCACTTTCCTTAAAGTTTAGTATTCTCTTGATTATATTTTCACCTGTCTCATTGCTAAGTTCCCCGTTTCGGAAAGTCTCCATTGGGGAAAGATTGTTCTGGCAAAGAAGCCTGTCTCCATAATGAAGGTCATAAACAAAAATAACATTTAATCTGCGGGGTGATCTAAAAAAGTTCAGTGAAAACCGAAACCAGATGGCGTAATCTTCAAACAGGGAAGGGTTTGGAAAGAGGTAAGTCTGTTGTTGAGTTCAGAACACAGGCTGACCAATTACATGATTTAAAGGATGCAAGAAAAGGGATCGAAGTGCACACCTGTTTTCCATTGCTAAAAGGACGACGTGGCAATGTGCACCTCCCAAATAATATAAAGGAAATTAAACTGGGGCTGCAATT